CTCCTGGGGGCCTGGTGCCTGCCGCCCCTCCTGGGGGCCCGGTGCCTGTCGCTCCACCTGAGGGCCTGGCGCCCGCCGCTCTGCCTGGGGGCCCGAAGCCTGTCGCCCCACCTGGGGGCCCGAAGCCTGTCCCCCCGCCTGGGGGCCCGATGCCTGTCGCCCGCCTGGGGGCCCGATGCCTGTCGCCCCGCCTGGGGGCCCGATGCCTTTCGCCCCGCCTGGGGGCCCGCCGCTCTGCCTGGGGGCCCGATGCCTGTCGCCCCTCCTGGGGGCCCGGCGCCCGCCGCCCCTCCTGGGGGCCCGCTGCTCCGCCTGGAAGCCCGGTGCCCGCTGCTTCGCCTGGTGGCCCAGTGCCCGCTGCTCCCGCCTGGTGGCCCGGTGCCTGCTGCTGCTCCGCCTGGTGATCCGGTGTCCAGCTCGATGTGCCTCTGCCCGGAGTCCTGCCCAATGTGCCGCTGCCCGGAGAGTCCTGCCCGATGTGCCGCTGCCCGGAGTCCTGCCCGATGTGCCTCTGCCCGGAGTCCTGCCCGATGTGCCTCTGCCGGAGTCCTGCCCGATGTGCCTCTGCCCGGGGTCCTGCCCGATGTGCCTCTGCCCGGAGTCCTGCCCGATGTGCCTCTGCCCGGTGTGCTGCTGCCCGGAGTCCTGCCCGGTGTGCCGCTGCCCGGAGTCCTGCCCGGGGTGCCGCTGCCCGGAGTCCTGCCCGATGTGCCAGTCTTTGATATCCCCGCCAGTTACCAGACCCGGGCGGTGGAACATTTTGCCCAGCTAGGACTGTTTGGAGCGTCCTGAGGCCGCTCCTTGAGGGGGGGGTACTGTCAGGAATGGACTTCCCAGTATTGGTGGGACTCAAATGCCTTGTGGGCTGCAGTACCAGGGCTGGTCAGCGGGTGCTCCCAGCAATCAGAGACTCAAACCTGCAGCCAGCCAAACACCTGAAGTTGATTATGCAGGTGTATTTAAGGGATGGCCAGACCTGCAGTCTCTGCCTTGGTGTGTGTTTTTCCTGGGCCCTGTATCTTGTTCCTGCATTCCTGTTCCTGTTCCTGTCTCTGTCTGATTCTTTGCTGACCCTGCCTGATCCGGACCTCTGCTGACTTCTCCCTGTTTTATCCCTGGCTTGTGACCCCGACCATTCTCTGCCTTGACCCCCTGTATCTACCTGCCCGATTGTTATTGACCCGGCCTGCCTGACGACGCTTGCATTGTATGTACTGTTATCTGTGGGTGGTTTGGTTTGGTTCGTTTGCACTGTGTTATGTTTTAGTATTGCACTGCGTTTATGTTTGTATTGTTAGTCTTTAATAAATTATATTGTTTATAACTTATCTGAAGCCTGCGTTTTCCCTGCGTCAGTTCACATACCTCTGGTCATACCCGGCAGCCCTGACAAGCGGCCTCAGGATGCTCCAAACAGTCCTAGCTGGGCAAAATGTTCCACCGCCCGGGTCTGGTAACTGGCGGGATATCAAAGACTGGCACATCGGGCTGGACTCCGGGCAGAGGCACATCGGGCTGGACTCCGGGCAGAGGCACATCGGGCTGGACTCCGGGCAGAGGCATATCGGGCTGGACTCCGGGCAGAGGCACATCGGGCTGGACTCCGGGCAGAGGCACATCGGGCTGGACTCCGGGCTGAGGCATATCGGGCTGGACTCCGGGCAGAGGCACACCGGGCTGGACTCCGGGAAGAGGCACAGGGCCCCCAGGAGGAGCGGCAGGCACCGGGCCCCCAGGCGGGGCGGCAGGCACCGGGCCCCCAGGCGGAGCGGCAGGCACCGTCCCCCAGGCGGAGAGCGCAGGCAAGGTGGGGCGGCAGGCGCCGGGCCCCCAGGCGGAGTGGCGGGCCCTCAGGAGGGGCGGCAGGCACCGGCCCCCGGGCGGAGCGGCGGGCATCGGGCCCCCGAGCGGAGCGGCGAGCACCGGGCCCCCAGGCGGAGCGGCGGGCGCCGGGCCCCCAGGCGGAGCGGCGGGCGCCGGACCCCCAGGCTGAGCGGCGTGCGCTGGACCCCCAGGAGGGTCGGCGGGCACCTGGCCCCCAGGCATCAGGTCATTTGGCTTGACAGCGGGCACCGCGTTATCTGGCAAGGCAGTGGGCAACCGAGTCACCAGGCACGACAGTGGGCTCTGAGTCAATTGGCACGACAGCAGGCACCGGGTCATCAGGTATTGGATTGTCTGGCTCGACAGCGGGCATGGGGTCACCAGGTATGACAGCGGGCACTGGGTCACCAGGCATCAGGTCATTTGGCTCGCCAGCAGGCACCGCGTCATCTGGCAAGGCAGTGGGCACCGAGTCACCAGGCACGACAGTGGGCTCCGAGTCAACTGGCATGACCGAGGGCACTGGGTCAGACATTGGATCGTCTGGCTCGACAGCGGGCATCGGGTCACCAGGCATCAGGTCATTTGGCTCGACAGCGGGCGCCACGTCATCTGCAAGGCAGTGGGCACCGAGTCACCAGGCACGACAGTGGGCTCTGAGTCAATTGGCACGACAGCCGGCACCGGGTCATCAGGTACCGGATCGTCTGGCTCGACAGCAGGCACCGGGTCATCTGGCGCTGGATCATCTGGCTCGACAGCGGGCATCATGTCACCAGGCATGACAGCAGGCACTGGGTCATCAGGTACCGGATCGTCTGGATCGACAGCGGGCACCGGGTCATCAGGCATTGGATCGTCTGGCTCGACAGCGGGCATCGGGTCACCAGGCAATGGCAATGAGAATGGAAATGGTGGAGTGCATGCACACAGCCATTTCCATTCTCACTGCCAGTCACGTGTACCATTCGTGCATGCGCACCGCATCGTAGATAAACCGCACATGCGCCGGCTCCCTGAGTGGTGCTGGAAATGCACTATTCATGGACAGATGCGGGATCCAACCAAAGGAAAATGAATGCAGTGTACTGTGTGACAAATAAACAAGGGATCTGAAGGGCATGCTGATAGCTAAAAATCAAAAGTGAAAAATAAATAAAATATAATTCAAAAATAATAATAAATGAAAAATAAATAATGAAAAAAGAAAAAAAATCTAAATAAAAATAAAAGAATAATTAATGCTAGTGTAATGAACAGAGGATATGTGAAGTATACATGAAAACTGAAAAGTATACTGGTATGTTTAAAAAGAACTGCTGTACTCGCGGATTATGACTTTTTGCTGTCCTGGCCTATCTCGGGTACGGGTGCCGTTGTTCGGGTTCCCGTTTGGGTATGGGGTGATGGTTCCCCTCGGGTTCTGGTGGGAGGTGGGCCTGATCGGGTGTTGGCCTTTTTGGGAGGTGGGTGGGGGACCACTTGGGCTGTGTAGTGGTTCTACGGCAGCCTGTGGCCGTCCTCCTGGAGGGGGTTGGCCCCTAGTTTAACTGGGTTTTCTATCGGGAGGTTGCTGCGGATGTGCTCAATTCTGGGACTCTTAGTTATTACTTTGGTGTTCTGTTATACTGTGTTAATTGCCTTTTTGCCCCCTGGGGGCTTATGTTTTTGCTGTTTTCATTTGCAGCCATGTGTCCGGTGGTAGAGCCACCCCCAACCGGTATCCTTCAGGTGTAGGAGGATGCATGTCACCATTGACGTGACACATTTGTACTGCTGTATATATTTCTTTGTTTCTTTTTTTTTCTCCCTTCTTTTCCTTTCTGTTTTTTTTGTTTTATCCTCATGCAGAGTTTCGGGATGCCATGGTCCAAACGCCACTGAGAGTGGTAACTGGTGGCCGACCTATGCTTTTTCTGCTGAGCGTGCTGTGCTGATACCGCCATGGCCTCACCCCTTCTGAAAGTACTGTATACTCACAGAATGTTCAAGGTTTCAATTCGCCTCAGAAGCTGGCTAAAGTTTTTCATCACCTCAAATCGCAACAAATTGATGTGGTATGTTTACAGGAGACCAGGTTTTCTCAGTCCTTTGCTCCACTATATCTTTCGCCTCACTTTCCCACCTTTTACACTGCCTCGGCCCCTGAGAAATGCCGAGGTGTACTAATAGCTTTCAAGCGCAATCTTCCTTTTGTCTGTGCTTGGAATATAGCAGACCCCATGGGTAGGTACTTGCTTCTGCAGGGCACCCTCTGGGATCAGGAGGTTACCTTTGTCTCTTACTATACACCCAATCGCTTTCAACATAAATTATTTTCTCATCTTTCCACCATTGTCTCCCGACACTCCAAGGGTCTTCTTTTTCTTTTGGGAGATTTTAATGTTACCTTGGATTCCACAATGGATAGGCGCTATGCCCAGGGGGCTGCCCCTTCTCACGACTTAGTGCTAGAGGAACGTTTGCGCTCTCTTTTGCGGACGGCGGGGCTGGCAGACGTCTGGAGAGAACTTCACCCAACTGAGCACGACTTTACATTCTACTCCAACCCTCATGACAGTTTTTGTAGAATTGACCATATATTCATGCATGTTTCAGCAGCTTCCTTTGGTCAGGCGGATAACTATTTCCCTCCTCGCCCTGGTCGGACCATGATCCCCTGGTACTCCTCCTGGCCCTTTCTGGGTCGGTATGGCGCTCCTTTCACTGGCGCATTAATGATTCCTTATTGACCACTCAGGTCACTTGCCAACAAATAGAATCTTTCGCACGCACATACTTCGCAGAAAACTCGGGATTTGTTTCTTCGGCAGTTCCCCTGTGGGAGGTGCATAAAGCCACGGTAAGGGGTCAGGTTAACAACTGGCGGTGGTTCGGAAGCGGGAATGGGGGCGCCGACTTTTGGAGCTTCATTCTCTGTTGGCCTCTGCGGATGCTCATTGGAAGTCATTCCCATCCATGGCCCATAAATGTGCTCGGGATACCCTGCGGCAGAGTTGGATCTACTCGCCTCTTCAGAGGCGGAACGGGCCCTGCGTTGGACCAAACACAAATTTTATTCCTGTGTGAATAAGCCTGGTCCGATGCTGGCCAGGAAACTCAATTCTGTGGGGAAACCCCACAAAAAGATCCGATTGTGACTTCCCGTGAGTGGCTGTACTTCTAATCCCCAGCAGATTGTCTCCCGTTTTGCGGACTTTCTCTCACGCCTTTACGCTAAACCAGATCCCTTCCCTGTGGCTCAGGCAGAGGCATGTTTTCAAGACCTCCAACTTCCTGGACTATCTGAGGCAGCGCAGAAAGCCCTCAATGCCGGAGTCACCATACCGGTAGTGCTACAAGCTATTAAATCTCTACAGTCCACCACGGCCCCAGGTCCAGATGGCTTTTCCAGTCTCTATTATAATAAATTTGCAACCCTGTTAGCACCCTTCTTGGCTGATTATTTTAATGAGTTACGACAGGGCTCCTTGCCCTCTCCAGACGCGCTTAGAGCTCATATCTCTATGATTCCTAAGATGACCGATGATGTGCAGAAACCGCAAGCCTTTCGGACCATTTCTCTTCATAATGAAGAGATTAGGCAAGATTCTTAGCTGTCGTGTCAATAAATATTTGCGTAGCCTGATTCACAGGGACCAAGTGGGTTTCGTCCTGGGAGACAGGCACGTGATAACGTTCGTAAGGTGGGTCCATCTTATACATTTTCTACAACAGTGGAAAATACCAGGATTCTTACTGTCCTTAGACATATATAAAGCCTTTGATTCTCTATCCTGGGACTATCTGCGGTTTGTGATGTCTCGCTGGGGTTTTGGGGACTCTATTCTTTCTTGGATTCAAGCCTTGTATTCTAACTTCCGTTAAATACGCTGGTTATTTCTCAGATTCCTTTCCTATTTGGCGAGGTACGAGACAGGGATGCCCCCTGTCCCCAGCACTCTTTGTCCTGGCGCTTCAGCCATTGGCCATTGGCTATGGCACTCCGGACTGATTGTAATATATCGGGGGTTCCATACGCGGGTCAGGAGTTCAAGTTGAACCTTTTTGCAGACGATGCCCTCTTGACTCTCACTAATCCCCTGATGACGCTTCCAAATTTGCAACAGGTTCTCGAGCGCTTCTCCTTGATTTCGGGTCTCTGTATCAATTCGGATAAGACTGTTGCGCTTAATATTACTTTGGCCTCAGATTTGGTTTCGCGCCTACAGTCCCACTTCCCTTATAAATGGGCTTTTTCTTCTCTTGAATACCTAGGCATTCGCCCTAGGTATTCAAGAGAATACCCCCACCTATGACTCACTGTTTGCTGCAAATTACTATCCATTGCTTCGCTCTGTGTCCTCTCTTATGCATTCTTGGCAATTTCCGCACCTGCCATGGATAGGACGGATGAATTCAGTAAAAATGACCATCTTGCCGAAATTGTTATACTATTTTCGCACCCTCCCAGTGCAGGTTCCTCCTCATTTCCCTTGGTTGCTTCAGGTAAAGATTATGCGTTTTATCTGGGCCGATAAACGCCCCAGAGTTTCCAGAACTATGCTTTTTGTCCATAGACTCCAGGGTGGCCTTGGGGTTCCCAATGTTACTAAATATTACCAGGTGAGCAAGATCGCCCCTCTATCTATGTTGCATGCCTCCTCAGACATACTCTCTGGGTCCTCCTGGAAATACCTAATTGTACCCCTATTGCGATATTGACACTTCTATGGCTTCCCCCTGCCCTGCGCCCACGGCACTGAATCCGATTTTCCTCCATGGCTTACAAGTGTGGGACTCGGTACGTTACTCCAGTGGCCTAATGTCACCTTTTTTGCCTTTGCTCCCAATCACTAACAACCCCCTCTTCCCACCGGGTTTAGATCAACCAAGGGCGTTTTCTTGGTGGGTGACCAATGGTTTTTCACAGGTATGACACTTTTTGATCTCTTGGTCCTTCCCTACCTGGAATTTTCTTCGGGAGTCACAGGATGTCCCTCCGGCGGAATTTTTTCGTTACCTTCAATTGCGACATTGGCTGCTCTCATTGCGGGGCACTTCTGTCTTCCCGTACCAGAAATCTGCCTTTGAACTGCTTTGCCAACAGCGGCCAGGCACCCCAGGCCTTATTTCCCTTCTTTATGCAGCTTTGAATAGACGCTCGGCGCATACTTCTCTTTCATATGTCGTTCAGTGGGGAGCGTGACCTGGGAGTGGTTGTGGATCCGGAGGACTGGAATAGGGCCTGGTCGCTTGTAGCTAAATGCTCTTTTAATACAACCACACTGGAGGCGGTTTACAAGGTATTGTCTCGTTGGTATTGGGTTCCAGCTCGTTTGGCACAGGCAAATCCTGCCTGCAGTGATCGATGCTTTCGGGTTTTGTTGCCATCGTGGTGATGTATTGCATATCTGGTGGTCATGCCTGAGGCTGCTTCGTTTTTGGTCTCATGTGTTTGGCCTCCTTTTCACCTTGTTCCATCTCTCTATCTGACGGGATGCTCAGTATGCTTTGCTTCATTGTCCCATACCAGGCCTCTTGACTCATCAGCAGAGTTGGCTTCCTATTTGTTTTTGTCGGCCTCTAGAACAATTGCTCAGGCCTGGAAGAGCCCGTTTGTCCCTCTTCAGGGGGTGCGGGACCGTATGACCACTATGATGCTCAATGAACAGATGTCGAGTATCTGCAATAACTCCCAAGGTAAATTATTGAAAATATGGGAGCCGTGGTTGCAATATACCTTTCCCACACTCCCCCCCGGCTAGTCTGGGGATGTGATGTTCGGCTTTGGCGTTTTTGGATCCCTGCTCTTGGTTTGGTTATCTTTTTTCTTTTTGTACTTCTCCTTCCTTCCCCCCCCCCCTTTTTTTTTTCTGTTTGCTTTTGGTGTGGCAGTGGATAGCTGCCTTTAGTCTGAGTTATTATCAGTGTTATATTTATGTTTTGTTATTTAAGTGCCATTGATAGCACCTGCGTGGGCGATCTTTTGCCCTGTTGGTGTTAGAGCACTGATTTCTTTAATTTTCTACTTCTT